GGGTGGGATTCCCAGGGTGGGATTCCCAGGGTGGCATTGGCAGGGTGGGATTCCCAGGGTGGGATTCCCAGGGTGGGATTGGCAGGGTGGAATTGGCAGGGTGGGATTCCCAGGGTGGGATTCCCAGGGTGGGTGACGTGCTGGGCACCCCCAGTGGGCTCCCCTCTCCTCCAGCACCTTTTTCTCCTGATTTCAGTTTCAGAGCAGTTTACTGAGCATGTTTATGGTGCTGTTTCTTTGGGGGCTGGTGGGGTGATGCTCATTCACTTACAGAGAGGAAAAGTTTGCTAGGTGGGGATCCCCAAATTAAGCTCCTTGATGTCCCCCTCGGCCGAGGCAGAGCCTGTCCTGTGTTCCCTGTTAGGAAGGAGGATGTCGAGACAGGGGGAAATGCTACTGGCACCAAATGAAAGACTGACCTTTCCCCCTTTACCAAAAGCTGGGGCAATCTCGTGCCCTCAGGCTCCGTGGAGGGCTGAAAGCCCTCACCACCCTTTTGGTTTCTGTGCCCCACAGCCCCAGTGAAGAGCCAGGGAGCCCCCAGCAGCACAAGCCCAAACAGGTGAGAAAAAATCCTTCCTCTCCATCCCATGTGCCACCATCCCCTGCTGCGGGCTGTCCCCGAGGGCTGGGGACATCAGAGACCCTCAAACCCCAGAGTCCACACCAAGGCTGGTTGGGCTGCTCTATTGGGCTGCTGCAGCCTGTGAGGACGTGAGATTTTTTGGAACCCCTTCCAGAGCAGGTGGGTATAGACAATTGCACAGCTACCCCTTCTTTGTGCATCCTTCTGAATCCCCCCTCCATCACTCTGATGCACCCCATGAGGAGGGTTGCTAGTTCTTAAGTAACAATTTAATTAAGCCCCTCAGTTAAGCTGTAAACTGTGACTCACTTTCCCCAGGCCATGACCTTGAAAGCCAGACCCCCCTTCCCTGCCTTTCAGAACAGCCCCACGTGCCCCCCAGCCTTGGAAGGGTCTCAGCAGCATTTTCATCCACCACCCAATTTAATTTTTAATCAACAGCTCCTCCTTGAAGGGCTTTGTTAAGTAAGGGAGTGGTTGCCCACCCCACAGCTGCTTAAGGGATTAGGGGGTGCAAAGGAGCTTTTCCATATGAGCTCATGACATGGAAGAAAGCAGCCAGTTCCTAGCTTCACCATGGAGCCCCCAGCTCCCCCTCCCCAAATTCACAGTCCTGGGAACCACTGGGATCCATCATGATCCCACTTTTTGTGAAACACACCGCCCTGGAGAACGTGGGAGAAGCAAAACCCCTGCAAGGGGGAAGATGCTCTGCTGGGCAGTGGAAGCCTTGGTGACCTGGATTTGCTGAGATCACTTTCTGAGAGCCCTGAGCTGACACCCACTCCCCAAATACCTCCTGCCCAGAGCCAGGTGCTGACCCACATGCTCCGTATTTGGTAAATCGGGGTTATTTATTTTATTTATAGCCCCAGCTAACCAGGATTAGGTGTGCTGTGCCTAATCCTCCTGCTTCCCTGCTCCTGCTGACCTCCTTGCCATCCACAGGAGCCTCCTGCGGGCATGAGAGGAGATGGAGGAGGGAGGCCAGGCTGTCTGCCTGTCCCTGTGTCCCCTGTGTCCCCTGTCCCAGCTCAGGTGCCCAGAGTGGCTCCCAGCCAGGGTCCCCATGGCCACAGTGGGATTTGTCCCTCTGTGCTGCACGGTGTCACAGCAGCACCATCATCACATCCCTCATGTCCAGGGCTGGCCCAGGGCAGATGTTCTGTCTGTCTGCTAACAGACCTCTCTGTTTTCCTCCCTCTGCCTTCCCCGGGGCTGCCGCATGGTAAGTCACACATCGGAAGGTGTCAGGGTGCCCTGTGTTGGGCTGGGGCAAAACCCGGCTGTATCTCTGAAAGGAGCCCAGTGCTGTATGAGCAGGGGTTGCCTGGGAAAGGGAAAAAGTGTTTAAGGCTGGCACCACCTCTGCAGCACCGTCCATGAGGGCAGAAGCTGAAGAAGAAGAGGCAGGAGCCTGGGCTGGAGCCCGAGGCCAAACCGCGGCGGCTGCGGGTGAAGAAGCCGAGCGAGGCAGGGGCTGCAGAGGAGCCCCCAGCCCCGGCACAGGGTGAGCACAAACCCCCCAGCCCCCATGGAAATGGGGAAATGGGGTGCCCCATCCCTCACCTGAAGCGCTCTCCTTCGTGTGCATCTCTTGAAATCCACAGCGGTGAAGAAGGTGAGGAAGAAGAAGGAGGAGAAGGGAGAGGAGGAGAGCGACAAGGACCCTTCCTCTAAATTCACCAAGGAGCCTCGGAAGAAGAAGGAAAGCCTGGCTGCCCGCTCCCAAGTGCCCAAGGGCTCCAAGAAGCCACAAGGTGCGGAGGCAACACCCACCCCGGCTCGTGGCACCTCGTGTCCCCCTGGACCGTGTCCTGGTGCTCCCAGTGCCTGCTGGGGCTCCGCTGGGGCTCTGCACATCCCCGGCAGAGCTTTTTTGGCTAAAACCCAGCTACGGACCTGGGAGAAACGGGGATGTGGCAGGGGACCTGCGCTCATTGCCTTGTTGGGGGAGTTGGCAATCGAGGGGGAGTGGGAAAGGAGGGTGACACATTCCCTGGGTAGGTGGCACTGAGGTGTCCGGACACTTCACCGGAGCGAAAAGCGGCTCCGCACGGCGAGGCTGCGGCCGCGAGAGAGCGCTCTGGCCGCGGCCGCGGAGCTGGACACGGCCGGGGCCCCGGCCACCACCGGGGGGACAGCGACACCGCCCAGGGATGGACCTGGGTCACCACCGGGGGGACAGCGACAC